TTTCTAGCCACTGGTATCAAAGGTGTTACTTGACTTTTCTTGATCACTTAAAGTCAAGTTTTTGAGTAAAAAGGTTTGTAAACAAAAGGAAAAGAGTAGAAGCGACTCTTGAAGTCATACTTCAAGTTGTTTTAATGAAAGTATTAAGACTTTATTAGCAAAGAAGCATAAAAACTTCTTGTGAACATTTTTTTTGTGTGTAGTCAGAGGATCAGTAGAAAGAGTTTTAACTTGGTACAATAAACTACTTGAATCAATCTCATAAGAAGAATTAAGTGAAACACTAAGGTACTTCTCAATAACAAAGCTCCAGAAAAATCACAAATCTATTATGAAATGTTGAAAAGATTGAGCCAAAAAGAAAAAAATTTCATGAAAAAAATGTTAAATAACTTTTTATAATAGGAAGTCATCCCAAAACATTAGAAACCAAGTTATATATATTCTTTAGCAAACTTAAATCTTGAAACTATAAACTTTTAAATACTAAATCTATCATCTTATTAGAGATCATAAAAAATGGTTTATCAAAATACTTATCAATATAATGTAAAATATTTATAAAAACAACAATATCCTCAAAGAACTAAACTATACAGGGTTGCTAGGAAAAAGTATAGCAGAACTAATTCAAATTCTCAACAATATTTGTAAATATGCTAGAGAAAATAAAAAGGAATTGTAAATACTTTTTCAAGATACTATAAAAGCATATGATACAATTAGTCTAATATGCTAATAAAAGCAGTTGAAAGCATCAAAGCTTCAAAAGGTTTCATGAAAATTATAATGAGCTTTTTTCAAAATAGAGAATTTTGTATTATATTTGAAAATGATCTTACAGAATCAATAGTAGCTGGAAATGAAATTGATCAAAAAACTATCTCATCTCTACTATGAAGAATTATTTACAATTCTCTTCTATGCAAAATCTAGAATAATATACAAAGAGAATACAAAATATTAGTTATATAGAATCCTGATCTTAAAAAATAGACTATAAAAAGGTTAGAATTAAGATATATAGCTATAACCTTCATATATAATATAACATGAATAACCAGATTTAAGAAGAATATGAAAAAAATTCTAAAAACTACAAAAATCTTTTATATAGTCAATGACTCTTAAATAAATGGCAACAAATCAATCTCAATCATTATTATTAATTCTAATTGCTATTCAGAAGAAGTGATAACAGGTACTAAAGAAAAAGGAATTAAAGAACTTGATAAAACAGAACAGGCCAGATACTTAGAAATCTAGGTAGACACTAAAAAACTATAATCAAGCTTAAAAAACAAGTACTTAAAGAAGTCAATATAATAACAAGAGCCCTTAAACATAAAAAGATGATAAATAAATAAGCTCTCTACATTTTTAATAGAGCATTAATATCTAGAATAGAATTTAGAATGCAATATAGCATATTGTTCTGAAAAATATATAACATATTGATAACAGTATATAGAAAACTTTTCAAAAATATGAGAGTTTATGCAAATCTATGTTTAACAGTATAATTTACCATCCAAAGATCTATAACTTGAAAAGTGTTTAGATACTATAAAGAAAAAATCAAATGATAAAATTTTGCAATAGATTAAATTATCCTGAATTAACAAGAATTATAACAATCATTAAACTCAAACAAGCATAAATCATAAATTAGGAGTCATTCAATTTATTAATTTGTAAATTCTTAAGTCATCTAACAGACAAAGGTAACTTCATACTTCAAGTAACCAAAATTTCTAAAGATATAAGAATAATGTTTTATAGTTGAAAATGATAAGATACAGTATTTTTGAATGAAAAAAACAAAACATTTGAATTGAAGAATATATTGTATCAGAAAAATATAAAAAAGCTATACCATCACTTAAAAACAATTATCTGATATACCTGGATTAGTTGATTGATCAGAAAATCAAAAAAATAAGAGACTAGTAAATACTTTAGCTTCTGCAAGATACAAGCAAAAGATCTATACCAGAATGATTTCAAATTATAGTCAAAAATTTCTTGGGAGAACAACCAAAGCAACTAATAAGATCCTGGAAAAAAAACTGTATGAAATAGAAACCAGAATACTCAAAACTAAATACCAATTGAGACAGCAAAAAAAATTGTAAATAGTAAAGAGAAACAAAAGAAACCAAGTAACTTGGGAAAAATTAAGACATGAAAAAAAGGGAAATGTTGTGATAGCAGTGCATTTTACCAGTTGTAATACCAACAACAATCAGGAGACCAATATATAAAAATGTTTAGGATATTTAAAAGGCATAATACTAAATAGTAACTATATCATAGAAAAAAAAATAGGAAAAATATACATAGTACTATACCTAAAGATAGGTTCCTAAAGGGGAGGCAGGGACTTAAGTCAAATGTCCCTTACTAGGAAACATTAAAATTTTTAAATTAATAATTATAAAAAAACTACTCATAATTGTTCTCCATTATCCAAATTATTGATTTATAGCATTTCCTGATTTTTGTCCCTATTAAAGTGAAGAGCTATAAATTTTGTCCCTCAAAAAGAGACATAAGTAATATGCAAAATTTTATATCTAAATACTTTAGGGGACCCATTATTAACTATATCTTAATATAAAAAAGTTTATCAAAAGAGCATAGGATTTAAAAATCCCAATCCCAAGTCAACATTTTAAAAAAAGGATCAAAGAAATGATTTATAGTAATCAAAGCTCTTTCAAAAACTAAAACAATAGAATAAATCACATAGATATCAAAACTTAAGAAGAATATATTATTAAGGAGTATATTAGAGAAGGAGCATATTAAAATTGCTTAATAGATATATTTAAAATGTAATCTTGGATCTAAAGAAAAACCAATCTTCTATTTTGCTAGATTATTCATTAATTATGGAAAAGAAGAAATAAAGATGGGTACAGCTTGGATTCAAATAGAAAAAGAAGGAAAAAAAAACAAGTTTCAAATAGAAGTAAACAATTGGTCCTATTTACAAGAGTTAAATTGATAGCAATTATAATAATACTTTTGATAGTTTCAATTGAAAGTATAGTAGAGATCTTTATAGATAGTTAGACATGTATTTTCAAGTAGAAATCTTTAAAAAAAAAAAGACCCAAGAAGAATATACAAGAGATAGCACAAAGAAAAAAATTGGTTTATATAGATACATATAATAGAATTAATAAAAAAGAAAAATATAGATTTAAAGCTTATAAAAGTCAAAGTATACTCAAATAATTCTTATAATAAAAAAATAGATACCTTAGCTAAGAAAGTCTTAAAATTTTCATTGATTGAATAAAAAGATCTCATTTCACACAAAATTATTATTAAAATCAAATGGTAAGAAACAACTTTAAATAATTCAATTAGGCAGTTTATTAAGAATATTAATAATAAAATAATAGTCTATCAGTAAATACAGCAAAACAGAATAGAGACAAAATGGAGTTATCAAATTTCAGAATACTGGACTCATATGGAAAAGAATTAAAGATGGACATATGTGGGATACATCTTTTAAACAATTCCAATAAAAAAGCTTTCTTATTAAACTGGTTAATAATGAGCTATCTATCTTAAGTAAGTTGGCTATAAGAAGATCAGATCTATACAAGCAAGTAAAATATATTGCATGTAATTAACAAGATGAAATTATAAAACATTTGCTAAAATATTTAGTTTATAAGAATTAACTACAAAAAATATGAAATAAAGGAATAGACGGAATTTTTAGAAATTTTAAAAAGCTACTATAGAAAAGAAAGTGAAAAATTTCAGGTTGATCATTGATAATCAAGAAGAAATAGGAGAGTTTAATAAGTAGATTTTTAAAATAGTAGAATAGATTTCTAAAATCAATCAAAATACAAATAAGTTTTTATACTGGTCTTATAAAAATCAATCTTATTCTATAAATGGCAGACCTAAAATGTCAAAGTAAATATATAGGAAAAATAGCAAGAAAGTGTATAATAAAAATACAAAAAAGAGTTTACAATCAAATTTAAAAAGAAGTCTGAAACAAGAAATGCAAAAAAATAATTGAATGAGAATGAACACAAGGAATTAATAGAAAGAATAAGACAATAAGACCTTTATGTTTTTTAGACCAGAAAATTATAACCTTGAAGAAAAGAGATCTACTATCTGAAGAAGGAAATCTTGAAAATGAAAGTCTCTGAGGAATTTTAACAAGAAGAGTGAAGTATAGAATAAAATAGTTGAGTTTTAAGCTCTGTCAGAACCTTGAAAAGTGATTTGCAGTAGTGACCTACAGGCAATAAAGTTAACAGTTGGAAGGATCTTTATTTGAACTACTAATGAAGCAATAAATCACTCTTGAAGTTGCACTTAGAGTTTTAATAATTCTTAAAATAGAGATGTGCGAGTTAGGTAGAAACTTAACTTTAGCAATATATTTTCCAATGTAAAGTATACATATGTTTAATAAAGTACACATGTCTAGCCTGACAGAAAGTTTTAAAAACAAAAAATTAAGGATAAAAATTGATAAAGTTGAAATTTATAATAAAAATATAAGTGAACTAAAACTTTTGAAAGCAACTGTATATACTGTATATAGTATAATTAAATCACATCAGTAATATAAAAGAAAAATATGAATATAATATTTAAATGATACTTTTTTTTAAAAAAAAAATCAACTTTATTTCAACTATATACAACAAATAAATCAATTTTTGTTATGCTAATTGCCCCCAGCTAATAAACGCCTATTTAGTCATCACGCTTGGTACGAAAGCGCTTTAATAAATAATTTCTATAATCTAATAATCCATCCCATTTCAGATAAAATACCAGAATAAGAGCAACTGCTTCGCAAACAACTGTAATAGCACTTAGTATTATATAAATAATTTCCGGTCGGCCTTTTTCAGGAATAAACCATAGGATTGCTTATAAAAAAGGAATTCAAAATTTACTCATCAAAATGTTAGCTCAAAAAGCAGTAATAAGTCTCAAACTTTAACTTACCACAGATTCCGTACTGCGAAAAACACGTAACATTCCACAAAGTAAGAATAAACAGTAATTTTGAAGGCGAACAAAGAAGTGTTCTTTTCTTCTCACTTTCCTCCAAAAAACATCCTTCATAAGTGTACCAATAATAACTTTCATGCACTTTTTTCTGCAAATCTCTTATATGATCCTGTGGTTGATATGAATTTGTGTCTTGCAAATGATCGGCACTTTTCTCGACTTGAGAGATATCATATTTACGAGACTCTACTTTTTTATGTGAAGTATTATTTGTTACACTCCACCAAATTTGTGTAGCACGCAGGAAATTTATTATCCGTTTTGGATGCATAATTATTGTTAGAAGAGTGAATTCGGCATTTGTTAACTATATTTTGAACGAAGAAGTTAGCGTGAAATACAAAGCCGCAAAAAGTAAATATAATTAATATTTACCTGGGTTAAAACTTCAACCCAATACTTCTTTTCCTTTTTCTTGCTAATATGAATAATATCTACGACAATAAGTAGATAAAGTAAAAGTGCAACCCCTATTCTCATCCATGTCAAAATCTCAATAATCCTTCTGACTTTATGATAAGTTACTGAATAGCATCCTCTCTCTTTCTCATTTTGAACAGTTTGCGTTGACATATTATCTGCCAACAAGCTTGTCGATGTTTCCGGTGATGTTGTCGTCGTCTCTCTTCCATCTGGAATTCCCCGTTGGTCTTGTGAAAATAAATTATTCCGAGGTGACGAAGGCGAAATGTCTGGATCTGATTCACTGGCGTTAGATTTTAGGCTTGGACTTGGAGGATGAACTATAATTTCTAATTCTTCCCTTCTATGTGACATATTTTATTTTCGAAATTGAAATCGTAGTATTTATATTTCGTAGAAAAACAATAACATATTCGAGGTTATATTTATATTTACAAGTCAAGTTTATCATGCCCCAAATATTTCTTTCATTACTAGTAAAGATTAGCATTACAGGTTTCATCAACGATTTTGAAAATGAGGCTATGGTTAGAATCGTTTTTTGCAATTTCCTGATTGGTAGCGAGAAAATTTACACTACGACATTCTGTTATATTTGCATCCGTTTACAATTTAGTTCATATAAACAGGAAAAATGGCGTTAGTTTCAAAATCAACTATGTATAGGCATAAACAAAAGATAATTTACGAAAAATATCATTTCTTTCATGTTTCTTTAGCAATCGATCCTATTTCCTTTTTATGCCCTTTTTTGAATTTTGATCACTTCCATTTTTAGGATTGATTAAAAAAAAAAAGCTCGTACAAGGAAATCCTTAGGTTAACGCGCAGAGATTTTTTACCAAAAATAGATGACATGGGCGTGTCATCAGAGATTTTTTATCAAAATAGATGACATGGGGGTATCCTCCTTGCGTCATTCAGTCACCCCTAAATACACCGTCTCCCAAAAAGAACGCAACATCTGATCGGCGATCTTTAAATGCTAAAATTTTAAGTACGTTAAATCAAATTATGATGAAATTTATAATATAGATAGTATAAGTTAAAATAAATATTAAATTAATAAATTTTATTTTTATGATAAAATTTACTGTTGCATTATTTTTGGAGTTTTTTAAAAAAAAATAATAAATTTTATTTATTTATATATATAATTATACAAATATATTTGATTTCTATTACCATCTTGTATAATCACTTTGTTTTAATAATATCATTAATTTTTTTAGGAATTGTTTCTATATATTATTACAAGTTTTTCAAATGTTTCATTCCAAATTTATAATAAATTATTCTAGAGAGTTTCTCTGTTATTAATATTAATCTTTAAATCATTAACTTTTCTTTTAACATTATTTCAGATATTTTCTATTGAATTTAAATTTGGAGATTTTAATGATCAAGAAATAATTTTAATTTTGTTATTTTTTAACCATCTTTGAACTATTTTACCTTATGTTTAGGATCATTATCATATTGAAATATAATATCTTTAAGAATTAAATGATAATATCTTAATGAATACATTAATTCTTCTTTCAAAATTTGTCTATAAAACTCTGTATTAAAATTTTCTGCAATTCTAGATAAATATTCTATACCATAATAAGTAAAACTCTCTATATGTTAATAATATCTTTACTAAAAAGATTTCTTACATTGTATATATGCTTTAAATCCATTTTTCTTAAAGTTTTTCAAATTGTTTTGACACTAATATTTATTTTTTCATATTTTATTAAGAATTTATATACAGTATATTTATGGCAGTTTTACATTTTTCTTTTGAATTTTTTAAATAATAATACATTTTTCATGTAAAATAAGTTTAGATAGATTACTAGAAATAGATTTATTTTCTAATTTGTTTGTTTTCAAATTTTTTTTTTAAGTCTAGATATAGTGAAATAATAAACATTATTATCAATTTTGACAGCAACTTGATATAAACTATAACCTTCTTCTAATAAGATAATAGCTTTGTCCTTTTTTCTATAGATAACTGTCTTGAAAACATTTGGTTTATGCAAGGTTTGAATAAATTTTTGCATTTTTATATTTTTATAAAAAAATGTCAAAAGTTGTGTAGCAGTAAATTTTTATTAATTGTATTATAAAAAATTTTTTTATTATTTTAATTACTATTCTACTGAATATACCAAATAAATTAAATTATATACTGTATATACTATTAATTTCATTATGATTTAATCTGATTTGATTAAAATTTTAACATTTAAAGATTGATAATCAAATGTTACATTTTTTTAGGAGATGATGTAAAAGAAAATTTGAAGTTTAAGATTTATGTTTAAATAAAAAAATAAAGTGCATAATTGTAAAATAAAAAAATCAATAAGTAAATGACAAAAGAAATAAAAGAAATTAAATAAAAAAATAAAGAATATCATAAAAAAAATAAAGTGTATAATAAAAAAAACAAAGTATATGATAAAAGAAATCAAACATACAATAATTTTTTTTTGAAGTGGTAACTCTTTCCAATAATTCTCTAACCACATATAAAAAAGATGTTCACAAGAAGTTTCTATACTTCTTTGCTAATAAAGTCTTAATACTTTCATTAAAACAACTTGAAGTATGACTTCAAGAGTTGCTTCTATCATTTTCCTTTTGCTTACAAACCTCTTCACTCAAAAACTTGACTTCTAGTAATCAAAAAAAGTCAAGTAATACCTTTAATACCAACAGCAAGAAAGTTTTCAAAGGAAGAAAAACTAATTGTGAAGTATCTAAAGATTTATTTAATCTTTTAAGTGAGAGATATATAGAGGTTTTTGATGATAGAAGAGCTTATTTTTCCTCTTCCAATTACTTGTGAGCCTTTTAGAGCTATTGTTTTCATGGTTTTCTGTGGAATTTTTTCTATCTCAATTTGATTTTAAGTTTTTGGTAGCCTAAATCCTTATCAAAGATGATTGACTGACATGAAACACATTAGTTTTTGAAATGCAAACAAGCTCCTATTGGTCATATTCACATGTTTCAATGATATTATTGATGATTGGAAAGAAGGTTCTGGATATGGTTACCTTAAAAGCTCAAGTCCCTCAATGAAAACTTCCATGACATTAAAAAATAAAGTGATGGATAATGTGAATTGCAAACTCCCATCTCTTATCTAAGTTTCTCAAGTGATGACAAAGCTTTAATGAAAAAAAGCTGAGGTCTAAATGTTTTTTTTAAGATATCCCAATCCAGTGCTCACTTAAATGAAAGATCAGTTGAATTGACTCGTCTGATGTCACAGGTAATAAAAAAGAAGAATTCTTCAGAAGTTCAAGTAAAGCAAGAAGACTATCCCAATCAAGCAGATCCCTTTTGAGAAAAGGTTGTTTTTATTTTTGGATTTTTTGGTAGGCCTTGAATTGTTTTCTTTCTCTTTTTAACTTAGTAATTTATTAGTTTTTAGGCAATCAATAG